AAAAGGAGACCCTGTCCTTAAGTATTGTGCCAATGCATTCACTATCCCAAATCAGACCACAGAAGTGATTGATGACATTGGATGTCAAATAATGGCTGTCCTCTCTGGTGGCAAGCGTACAGATTCCCTTGCAAAAATGCGATATAACACCTTCATCAAGAAGGTTGTCTCTTCTTCATCGTTTGTAACACCCAAACGACTGCCCCCAACTATATCTGCTACCAAGCTTCACTGTCGTAGAGTTTACTACCAGATCATGGTTTGCTTAGGCAAAGAAGGGGGAATGGATGTCATGAACTGGGGGTGGAACTTACAGGATAATCGATTTGTGACACTCATGTCAAGAATGAATGCCGCTCCAGACAGTCTCTTGAAGGTTATTCATTGTAACTAGGCCACTGCTTGCAAGACACTGCGCTGCTCTTGTAGAAAATATGGACTACCATGCACTACTGCATGTGGGCAATGCCAACTTCGAGAATGTGACGATCCACATAACAAGTTTCTTCGTGAGGAGTCAGACGATGACGAAGATTATGGCGGCTAACTGTACAACAAACGCATAATAAACGCTGACAAACCTTGCATACTGATTACCTGATTACTTTGTAGTTATATTTAGATAATGGCAATGATTTTCAAGGTGCCTGAAACATAATTATATAAAAAATGAAAATATATATCTATTGCTGGGTTATTACAACAATTTAACAGAGGTAAATTGTTTATTTTTATCGTTTCATTGTTTTTTTTTGTTTTTTGTTCGGTTTTGTCAATATTATTTGTCATTATTATGTAATGGTAATTCCACTAATTTAGTTGGCTTCCTTGTCCCCTAAAACGTATGGTTAGACACCAAAATCACATTTCTAGGTTGAATAGTAATTGAGATATAGCCATTTTAGCTCCCATCTTGGACGCTATCTTTCAAATGACCCATTTCCAGGAGTCAGATTTTTAGTATGTCATTTAGCATGCTCAATAGCGGCAGAATCCATTGTAAAACCCTGTGTATCCATTTTTTGGGGGTGGAGCCATATATTGACCCGACTAATAGCTGTTAACAATTGATAAATACTACATTGTGTGTCCATCTATGGACAATCCTACATTGTTATATGCAGGCATATTTATCAAAGGAATATATTTAATTATACTTTGAAAAACTTTAGCACAGAGTCTCTAACATTAGTTGCAAACAATAACATTTTAACTTCTTACGCACAACTTAAATAGTCGTTTTCACTTTTTTTGCCACACCATTAACAAAAAGCATAAACAAAGTCGAGATAAATTACAACATTGTACTCCTAGCAGAAGCTTAAAAATATATGAAAGACCATCAGTGTTTTAAACACAAATTGTGATATGGTTTACAATAACGTTCATTTTGCCAATATGCAACAGAGCATGGTTTTCATTGTTATCACATTTGTCAAATGTGCTGTGACGATCGCTTTACTTGTAGGGTTATATTCTTTCTCACAGGAGGTATAATAAACACTTTCCGTTTTCATTTCATAATATATTAATAACAATTCACAATGGATTTGATTTGTCCCTCCCCCACTTCTTACCAGCCAGGGGTCGTAAATGGAGCCAGTATTGGGGAATTTTCTTTTTTTCCCAGAATACTGCCTCCACTATGAATCTCTCCCCCTTAAATCGAAGTTTTTCCCTCAGGGAACTGACCCGACCACCAGGCGTTTGATCTTACACTTATAAGTAAAAGGGAGGTTTGACGTTGTCTGACTTTGCGGCCAAGGACGGCCCCTCGGAGTCCATTCTTCGAGACATTTATAGGGGATAGAGAGGTCATCGGTTCTAGTACACCTAACCCAGGTACCATGAGCATGGTTTGCATAGGACGGGTAAAATGGGGTGACTGCATTCCGTGGAGTTTATCACCATCTTAGTCAGAAACAGCCCCCCACACTATGAGAGCAGAGTTGTGACCCATTGATTTTTAGGCCTAGCACACTGGTATGTAGAATGTAGAAGCAGCCAGTAGGCAAGCGCCCTTACTCTCTTGGGGGAGAAAAAAGTGATGGCGTGCCAAAGTGGTGGGTCTGTTGGGGAATTCCCTCAAATGGAAGCAATTCGTACAGGAGGTATACAATGGGCGCCATACACAGGGTAGAGACCTGGCAGTAAGTCCAGGCTTCTACTCGCACAAGTTCGTAGTTCCAAATGCTACAGGTGAACGGCGTCCAGTTTTGGATCTAAGCAAACAAAAATCAGTATGTTAATCTTCATCGGTTCCAAATGGAGACGCCAAGCACTGTTTTACTCACCGCGCACTGTTTGATTGGTTATTCATGCTAGATTTGAGCGATGCTTATTGGCACATACCGATGCACCTCGTGAGTCTGTGACTAACCCATTTTGGCCAACTTTGGAGTGCTGTTGAAACAGGTGGGCTGCTGCGGCATCAGTTGTCAGTATACATCAACCCGTACCTAGAAGACCTGTTGGTACACAAGCAAAACAAAGGGGTGTTGGGCGAGCAGGTGGGGCTAACACGGCATTTATCACACCAATTAGGCTTTCTAGTAAATTTAAAAGTCCCATCTAAACCCGATACGTCAGTTGGTGAGCATGGAGCATGTT